GGAAAACTTGCTCCATTGTTCAGACTGGGGAGGTAGTGTAGGTCCATGCAGCTGGGGGTCATAGGTTGTTATCAGGTTGCTAGGTGCATTGTTCAGAGTGGGTTTTGTGCTTCTAGAACATTAGAGAAAAGGTGTGTGCGTAACCCAAACCAAGTGGAATGCCAGGCTACTGGCCTATCCTGTAGGCTTATCTTCTTCACGTGCAGATGTTTAGAGAGAGCATAGACAATAACAGTTCCTTTGGAAAGCTGTGCATGGAAGGTCGGTAAGTAGGGTAAACATCAACGACGCGAATCTGTTAGGGAAGAACAGGACGTGCAAGTAGACTGCAGAAATGGAAATAGGTGCCACCTTAGAGCTTACACAAGTGTTCCAAGGAGAGCAAAGTGATGCTTAACTTGGAGGAAGACAACGTCTTAAAAACAGACATCGAAGAAGTTGATACAATTATGTTTTGCTGTTGCACAGAGCGTGGCTGGAAAAATGAGTGGAGGCTAATGGGTAACAAGGTGGTCTGACGTCTCAACAGTATGACAGCCTAACAAGCCAGTGCTATCGTGATCTGTATGGGAAGAGAAAGCATTCAAAATTTAAGGGTGAGAAATACAGGCCCATGGGGGAAAGGGAAGCCATAATTTTGGTGTTTTGAACCATCATGACCTCATTTTATCTTTCAACCTCTGGGGACTGTGAGGCTCTCATTTAGTAATACCAGTTAGTCTATAAATTCACACTTTTAAAAAAAATGTTTTCTTGCCAAGCCACATCACAAATTAATCAATGTTATTATTATTATTACTGAAAAAGGTTCAAAACTCTAAGAGACAGATATGCGTAAGAAGTGTCAAGTTTGACATTTTCTTCTGGAAGCAGCCTATCCTGAGATGCTCTCGCTACTTAGGTGCTTATTGCCCTGCTGTTGGCTGATGAGATTTTTTTTTTTTTTTGTACTTGTTGTTTCAGTGAGCAGACCTACAGGATGACTCTATCTCAGGGTAAGAGAGGTTGACCCTGTACATCTCCATAGACATATGCTGCTTATGGCTTTTCTTTGGTGAGGTGACCTGCTTTCCTTTTCTATATCTGGGATGATAAATAGTGATTAATTCCAATGATCACGTTAAAATTATTCAATAGACAAAGAACTACAGGCAATCAAGGATGAGAGTGGGAAAAATAGTCCTCCCCAAGGATAAGCGCCCTAAAATTGATTATCTATTCTTAAGTGGTAAATCCTAAAATCATGTGCCTACAAATAACACTATATGGACTGAGATGGTTGTATTTCTATATTTAGGTACCTATAACTATAACACCTAAGAAAAAGGATAGTACTTCAAAAGGCAGCCAAGGGGTGTGTGTGGGAGGGGCTGGGAGAGGAAAGGAGAAATGTAAATATGTTTTAATTGAAAAGGAAAGAAAGCTTTCTCTTAACTCAGTCCACAAAGATTTCCTTCTGGGAATATTTTTCTTCTAGAAGTGATTTTTCTAGGAGTGTAGAGTTCTTAAATTTAGGTTCACAGTCTATTTCAAGTTAGTTTTTATGTATGATGTGATGGATAAATGAGGTTAATTTATTTTATACACATCTTAGTTTGCTCTAGTACAATTTAGACACTGTTTCCTCTTTGGGTTTCTTTGGGCTGAGAAAGGAGTTGGCTTATTATAGGAATAAAGAGGAAGTCAGTGTGGCCTGAATACAGTAAGGGAGGAAAGGCATGTTCAGTGCTGATGCTAGAGAAGTTAGGGGCCAAATCATAAGCACGTAAGGAACCTTGAAAAGAAAATTGTATTTTATTCTATGAAAATTTAATTGCTTCAAGGGTTTTAAGAAGGGCATTGCATGATCCAATTTACAATTTACTTCTTTTAAATATAAAGGTTGCTTTTTTTTTTTTTTTTTTTTTTTTTTTTTTTTTGGGAACAGGGTTCTCCACATAGCCCTGACTGACCTGGAACTGGAACTGACTCTGTAGACTACGCTGACCTTGAACTGACAGAGATCCACCTACCTTTGCCTCCTGAGTGCTGGGATTAAAGGTGTGCCCACCACCACTGTTTGACACCTCAAGATGTGTTTAACAAATCTGATAAACTCACTCTGATACTTAGCCATGCAATAGTTTAAAATTTATTTATTAGTATTGTGTGTTTGCACATGCATGATATCTATGTAGGGATATGTGCTATTATAATGTATATACAGAGGTCAGAGGACAATATTGTAGAATCATTTCTTCTGTCTTTGTGTAGGTTCCACGGGATTAAATTCAGGTCACCAGGCTTCCTCAGTAAGTGCCTTTACCTGCTGGCCCACTTAACCAGCCCCAGTTATTAGCATAATGTATATGTTTTGGTTATCAAAAGTGGGCTTTACTCCTTTAATGAAGTCATTAGAAAGTAATAAGTATAAACTGTCCTGATGGCATGATATAAAGGCTATAGAACATCTCGTTCATTGTTCCTTGTTTAGTCAAACCAACATAAATATTTTTTGGGAAGAATATTACCCAAGCTTTACTACATAGGGTCTCTTCAAAATCCTCTGGAACAGTGTTTCTCAACCTATGAGTCATGACCCCTCTAGGGTCGAATGACCTTTTACGGGTGTCACATGTCAGATATTTACACTACAATTCATAGCAAGGGCAAATTAGAGTCAGGAGGTAGCAATGGAAATCATTTTATGGCTGGGGGTCACCGCAACATGAGAAACTGTATTAAGGGGTCACAGCATTAGGAAGGTTGACAACCACTGGCCTAGGAGGTCATTCTTCTCAAGAAGTAAAAGGCACTGCTGTGGTTTGGAAATAAATGACCCTGATAAGCCTGTGAAGCAAGTCAACTTCTAAAGGATGGCTCAAGACTCCTTCCTCTAACTCCAGCTGCCCGTGGTGTCCTGCTTCTGTGAAAATGATGGCATCAGCTGAGTTTCATCAGGGCTTGAGTTGCTTTCCTGGTATAAATGGCACAAATGGGAAGGCTATCCCTTGTACTTGGGGACAACATTTGACAGCTACTGCTGCACTGGGGGTGTTCGCATCCTTGTGGAAGGATGAGCCAAGCTGTCACTGGGAGTTATTTTTCTTCTGAAATGTGGACTATGATTACGATCACGGGAGACTTCCCCCCCCCCCCAGTGAGTGCCATTGCATCTGTTTAAGGTTTAAAAGGTAAAATGAGCTCCTGATGGAATTTCATGCAGAATTAAAAGGCATGTGTGAAAAGCAGAGCTTGGGGGAGGTGTTAGACACATTTCCAGGTTGGACTTACCTCAAATGAAATATAAAATACATTCCATTTATCAGAAGAAACATTAGTTCTTGAATTTCACCCAAATACACATTTGAGTGATAATTAAACCCTCAACAATTGAAGAAAACAGATACATATTCTGTATTAACTGTTTCAGCAATCCACAACAAGCGGTACACAATAAGGTTGTAGGAGAATAAACTGAAAGAGGCTTGAGACTCAGTAGCCATGGAAATTTACAAATTGAGATTTACATCACAAGAAACAGCGAGCCATTTAAAGATGTAGGAAGACATTTTCAGGTAAGGTAAATGAAAAGGCATCAAAGTAGGAGAAAGATTGGATTATTAGAGGATCAAGAAGGCTAGCAAGAGCGGAGTGGCAGGATTTGTGGCAGGGGGTGAGATGCAGATAATGCAATAGTTCATATAGCCGATTGGATGCCGATTCCTACCGAGAAGCCATTAGTGTGTTTTTGGACACAACATGATGGCTGGTGTTGAACTGTGCAAGAGAAGGGGGTGGGGATTAAGAAACTGACGGACTGTAGGCAGGCTGGAGCAATCGACCGGGATTGCGGTGTGAAGATGGGATGGGAGGGAATGGATACACTCAGGAGCAGTTGAGGGGAAGAGGGCGTGATGGAAGAAGCCAGGTCAAGGAGCAGATGGGGTTGCTTACAGGCAAGCGGGAAAGCATCCTTTCCACAGGAGCCGCTGTTTGCACTCAGGATGTGAGGACCTTAACCTCACAAAACCTCTGCTGTTTCTTCCTAAGCCGGAGAACCTGGCTCACAGTTGGCTTCTGATCTCTTGAGATCTTTGCAGAGTCAGGGAGCTGAATTTTCTTTCACACCTTTATTTTCTGGAATTCTTGGGTACCAGAGACGGTGGGAAGGAGGAGTTCTATGGGATGGTTAAATTTGCCCTGAGTTAAATTTGAGGCAGGGCACGTGCAGCCCTTGGATGTCTCCACAGTTCTAAGCGAAGGGACCAGGAGGCTTAGCGTTTATTGTGGTGAGAGCAAGGAGCTGGGCACACAAGAGCTGGTCCTTTCATACTTGCAGTGACTATGAGATACATTCTTTCAATTTCAGTTTTACGAAATGAAGGTAGGGGTTCAGAGAGCTTCTTTATTTTTAGTTTTAATTGTGTGTGTGTATGTGTAGGTACCTGCGCGGTGGGTGCTGGGAACTGAAATCAGGTCTTGCAAGAGCAGTACATGCTCTCAGTCATTGAACCATCTATCCGGCCTCTCAGCGAGATTCACTTCGTTTGGAAATGATTGGACTGGACCCAGAGTCAGATTCTTTGACTCCCGCTCGGTTCCTGTGCGGGGTTACTCTCCTCTCCAGGTTGCCAACATCACTTAGTTGCCACAGAGCCCCTGGTGCAGAAGGACGCAATCTCCCTTTATCTAGTATGCTGATTGTCTCCCTCACCCCCTAGCTTGCCTAGGATTGTGCTCAGCAAGCGAGCCTGCTGGAGGAAACACATCTTTTTTTGCTGCCGCACCCCGGGCTTGGGGATGCGAGAGGCAAGGCAGAGCCTGTGAGCAGGACTGTGGTGCATGCACCACCGCTAAGCTGAGGGAAGCAACTCTTCAGCCTGTTCATTGCCCCGAAGGCATTTTCCATTTCATGGGCCCTCCCGCTTCCTATCCCTCTCACCCTTGGCCCCCCACTTTCAGCTCTGGCCCCTCAGGGAGAGTCCCTGGCCGCGGGGCTGACAGCATTTGGGGGCACCAGGTCTTGTTCTCTGCACTCCAGCCCATCTGTGCGCAGAGCCTCGTTCCCGGGCTCCCGGAGCCCGGCGGGCATTGACGTCAAACGGCAGCGGAGCGCTGCCTACAGACGGCTGACCCGGGCCCTCCTCCACACCCCCGTCCTTCCTCGCCCCCTCCCTCTTCCCGGCACCCGCTTCAGCCGGCTGGCTATAAGAAGCGGGAGAGCGCGGTGCCTGAGCAGAGACGAGGTCCAGCACCATGGAGAGCTCCCGCCTGCGGCTGCTACCCCTCCTGGGCGCCGCCCTGTTGCTACTGCTCCCTTTGCTGGGTGCCGGTGCCCAGGAGGATGCCGAGCTGCAGCCCCGAGCTCTGGACATCTACTCTGCCGTGGAGGATGCGTCCCATGAGAAGGAGCTGGTCAGTATTCCCCTCGCTTCGGGTTCCCCCTGGGCTGCCGCGGGGCCCTTGCTTTGCATGCGTCCCTCTTCCGCCCCCGACCCACCAAGAGGGCAGAGACCCTGGAGCCGGATTTCTTTCTTTCTTTCTTTCTTTCTTTCTTTCTTTCTTTCTTTCTTTCTTTCTTTCTTTCTTTCTCTCTCTCTCTCTCTCTCTCTCTCTCTCTCTCTCTCTTTCTTTCTTTCTTTCTTTCTTCCTTTTTAAATAAACCCCTGGTACTTTCTATCAAACAAAGATGTATAAGTCCACGGGCTACGGGTTGCATGTCGAGAGAATCCCTAGTTGTGGCTGTTCCAGGCACTGTGCACCTTGGAGGCTTTGGGAGGTGAGGTCAGGTCTAGGGACTTCGCCCGCAGGGCTTCCTCTCCATCACCATCCATCCCCCCCCTACTTGTCCCGCTGTCCTTCGGTTGTGTGTCTTGGGCTCCTTATAACTGGGCTGAAAGTGAGCACCTCTGCTGGGCTCGCAGCCAAGGCGGCAACTCCGGGCTCCCGGCACTGTGTTGCAGATTGAAGCGCTGCAGGAAGTCCTAAAGAAGCTCAAGAGCAAACGCATTCCGATCTACGAGAAGAAGTATGGCCAAGTGCCCATGGTAAGGCTCCTGGCCATCCCTCCCTCACTATTCCAGGAGAAAAGACTGCCTTGAGTCTTACACAAGATCTCTACTCTAGCAGGTGGCAGAGCAGCTCAGGTGATGTCCTCCTTGCTATTTCTCTATCTACCCTTTGCTCCCTGGGAAAAGACTTTTAGAGCAGGAAAACAGTCCTGTGATGTGGGTGGGACTATTTCCTGAAACATCATAGTTGGACCAGCCTTAATTCCCTTTAATTCCTCCTAGAGCACGATAAGACTTTTCTTTATCATTTTTGTTGTTGTTTTGTTTCTTAAAATCCTGGATAAAAAGATTTCAGGACTGGTCACCTTTGTTGGAACAGCTCTAGGTAAAAATCACACACACACACACACCATGCCTTCTGTTTTCCTTCTTTGGGCAAGGAAATGAGAAAGTGGAAAACAAAAGGTTATGGGTAAGTATATTATACATTTCATATGTCTTAGATACAAAGGTCTGGGTGGTTTCCCCCCCCCTTTTTTTTTTTAAATAAACAAGGAAAGGAAGCTCAAAATGCAGTTCCTTAAATTTCTTCCTTTAACTATCCTTCTGAAATTATGAGCCTGGGGCTCCGGGCTCCCTGGGCTTGGGTCTGTACTTAGAGTGGAGGTCGTGGCAATGGTCTAGTCATTCCTCCCAAGAGGCTGCTCCTCTGGGACCCCAGTAACCACTGGTTGTGTTGTTGGCAGTGTGATGCTGGAGAGCAGTGCGCAGTGCGGAAAGGGGCCCGGATCGGGAAGCTGTGTGACTGTCCCCGAGGAACATCCTGCAATTCCTTCCTCTTGAAGTGCTTATGAATGGGACAGCCTCCCTCTTAAGTTCCCACATTCCCTCTTTCCCCAAAGGAGCACTCTTTTATCCCTGGAGCCCTGGCTTTAGCAACAATAAAGTTTGCATTCCCTTCCAAGAGTGGATGGGATCTTTCCCTGCTGTTTCAAAATAAAAGAGCACATTTGATGTTACTGTGTGAAGGATAATGCCTTGCATGGTGTTGGTTGTGTGTGCAAAGTATTCTTTTCTCATTTTATTCATCTGACACGTTCTTGTGAACCTTCCCGGGAAGAAGAACTCTGCTTAAAAGGTGTATTTCTGTATGAAAATTAGATCTAGTTAATTTTGGCAGATGACATCACAACCTGGGAAATAAATTACCCTAAGCAACACAAATTGAAGCATGCAAAAATTATACATAATAAACCGTTTTTAATAATTGCGCACAGTACATGGCTGTTTCTACATAAGTAGGAATGATGGGATTAATCATGCTGTTGTTTTCAAAGAGAAATATTTTAAAAATAGCTGTCTATTGGGAGAGCAGCACCTCAGCTCCAGTGAGTTTTGATCATTAATTAGGTGTGTGCTACACCAGCCTCAGTATACTCTGTTCTCTAACTACAGTGGTGGTGGTGGTGGTGGTGGTGGTGTGTGTGTGTGTGTGTGTGTGTGTGTGTGTGAGAGAGAGAGAGAGAGAGAGAGAGAGAGAGAGAGTCAGAAAGATGGGAGGAGGTAGAAACCACTGAACTTTAGACTACACAGTTATCCTTATTCAAGCTTTTAGCTAGACTCCTTAGTTTCAGCAGTGACCCTCCCTTGCCAGGGACAATTGTGTGTCCGTGCTTATTGCCGCATTATTCACAATAGCCAGGAAGTGGGACCAACCTAGGTGTCCACCAACAAAATAATGAACAAAGAATGTGTGGGACAGACACAATGTTACCTAAATGGCCATAAAGATAAACGAAATAGTTTCAGGGAAATGGATGGAATTGTGAATCATTATGTTAAATGAAATAAGCCAGACCCAGAAAGACAAGTGCCATATGTGTTTTATATAATATAATATTACACACACACACACACACACACACACACACACACACACACATACACACACGGGACCTATTTGTAAAAGTGTGGGTGTGGGTGTATAAACCAATAAGTCCTATCTATGTACAAATGACTTATTCTGAGCCAAATCCAATGGCTATGGTCTGGGAACATGTATTCAAGTTACCTTGGATGACATTCTCTGGAATGAGAGGGGATATATATATATATCCACAGAACAAAGAATACCATAAATCAATATATCCAGCGAGTGCTTTAGGTAGGCCACAACAAAGTGAGGAGATGTATTGCATAGAGTTTAGCTGCTGTCAAATAGCCTTAGCTTTAGGGTTGGTCAAGGTTAGAGGCCTGCTAAGCTTAGTAACATTTTCCAAGGCGTTACCTAACAGTCACTAGAATGTTAAGCTGGAGGCAAAGATTAGTATAAGACTTTACAGCAACCATGGACTCCACACTGATGAGTAGCTTCTCCATAGTGCCAAAAGCATTTACTAGAGAGTATTCAATCAGAAAAGCAAGTGGCTATTTTCCTTAAAGATAGCCCAAGACAATTTGGACTGTGCGTACAATATCTAATCTTTTACAACCATGATGCTCTACTCAGCTCTGGTCTGACAGCTTGTGTGTCTTCAGAAGTGTGGCTTCTGAAGAGAAATTTGACAACACAGGCCAGTAAATAATTCTTTCAAACCTTAGCTACATTAAAAACAAAATGGAAACAAAACAAAACAAACAAACAAACAAAACAGGACTTTTGTTTGGTTAACTCTTTTCTCTTTGAGACAGGGTGTTATGTAAGGCAGTCTTGTCTCAAGCCTGGTATGTAGCTGGGGATGAGCTTGAACTTCTTACCATCCTATCTCCATCTGTCCTGGGATTACAAGCATGTGTCACCACAATTTGCTTGTATAGTGCTGAGGAATCAAACTCAGGGCTCCATACATTCTAGGCAAGTGCAAACACTCTACCAACTGACCTTCATCCCAGTCCTGGGAACCCCTTTATCAGAAAGTATGTAGTGACTTTAAAATGAACCTTTAAGAGGTTGATCATTCCAAGAAAGGGGAGTTACTGTATCAGATGCTTGAAGAGTGTGAGAATAATCCACTTTCACGGGCAATATACCTATGGAAAAATCCTCTGTCCAAGAAAGAAGTCAATTAGACAGTTCTTAGAGGAAGAAGGAAAAATTGGTGGGGGCGATTTCAACTCAAGATGTAAAAAAGAAAGCTAAGGGTTACGTTTCATAACTTTTAAACATTGCCCTGTGCTGCCCTGAGGATACATCTCCAAAGTGTAAACAAGACTAAGTCTCTCTCTCTCTCTCTCTCTCTCTCTCTCTCTCTCTCTCTCTCTCTCTCTCTCTCTCTCTCTCTCTCTCTCTCTCTCTCTCTCTCTCTCGTCTCCTATAGCCTAGGCTGGCCCTTAACATCCTAAGTACCTTGAAGCAGCCCTTGAATTCCGTATGCTTCTGCCTCCACCTCCTGAATGTTGCGATCACAGGCATGCATCCCCACTGACTGTGTAAATGACTTTTAAGCAGTAGCTTTATGAGAGGAGCAGTTGCTAAGAGCCTCCTAATCCAAACTCAAGAGGCACAGGCAGAATAGCAGAATTAAAGGGAAAGCTTTCTTTGCACATTCACAGAGAGATGGAGAGTGCAGGTAGGGAGCAGTCTCGTGTACAATGGCCATCTGCCACTTCCTTATTGTTTTGATTAGCATGCCTAATCTAATTAATCTTGCAAATAGATACAGTTACCAGTTTTCAAAGCACAAAACAGAAGCCAAGAGAGATTATGGAATTTAAGCATGCAATCCTAAATTGTGATTATTTTTTCAGCTTTGATCTCTTTGATTGCCCTTTGTCTCTTCCTTTCATGTCACTCTGGATGTCAACAGGTTAGTGCTTTCACAAGAAGGATGTTGCTTAGTAGAAATTAGCTCAGTGTGGGCCAATGTGCGATTCAGAAGATACATTTCCATCGCATGCCCCCTGTGACAGCCTGTTTGTGGATATAATAAGTCTGCTGCTTCTCCAGAAACCATTTCATTTCAAACCCTACCTTTCTCCACTCCCTTGATATCTATTCATGTCAATCCTAAGTCTGGAGAGGACATAGCTTTAGTCACTGGTTAGTGCTCAGGCTGAACTCTTGGGGACAATGCCATTTAGAACTGCCCCGATCATTTACCTCAAAGCAGGAGATCCTGGGAGAATACAAAGCACCTCAAACACTTAACTTGGCCCCCTCACTTGCAGCTCTGAGGCGTCAATATTTGTTCTTGTTTAATAAGACAGAATAAGACAGTGATGGTTAGTTCTGGTTGTCAACTTAGCACATCTGGGAACTGGAAGCTTGTATTCGGGCATGACCTTCGCTAGATTGGCTTCAGGGCATTTTCTTTATTGCTAATGTTGGAGGGGACAACATACTGTCAGATCCAACACTGAGGAAAGTATCAGCGGAAATAAAACCCCCTTCTCACCAACTTGCTTCTGGTCAGGCAGCAGCAGAAAGAGCAAAGATTATTGAAAATGCTATGGGCGGTTGATGGTAGGGACTTTGTAGGGTGGATGTGAAAAGACTTTTATCAGACATTTCATCTGGGGGCCCAGCTTTCAAGTTCATGACATTTTATGCTGATGAAAAAAATTAATTTTAAAGTACTGTTAAAAGTAACTTTACCTTTCTATTTTATTCATTTCCACAGCTCTTCTTCAAATAGAATATTTCATTACGTTTAATTATTGAAAGCCTCTGAGATACAGGAAAAGAAGTTTGAAGATTAAGTAAGTTTTAATGAGGAAGGGAGTTGCTGACAAGCGAGGCTCGGGTACTGCATGAGATTGGCTGGCAGATCTGGCTGTTGACGGTAAGGACCGTCAATGGAAGAGATGGGGATGTTATAAGGCCTGGGAGTGGCTCATCGAGTGGGGTCCTCCCAGCAGCCAGCATCAAGGCTACTGGGGAACTGTCCGTTTTGTGGTTTCTCTGTTTCCTGCAGTAATTATAGTTATTGCATGTCTTACACTGTGCCAGAATCTGGAGGGCTGTGTGGAGTGTGCTGTGAACCCTTCCCAATCTTGATATGACACACTGTTATCTGAGTTTGGGAACTGTAGTTAGGAAAGGGAGTTTGGGATTCTGTAGTTTCTTTGTTTACTTACAGACAGTCTGCCCAGGTTGGCCTTGAACTCAAGATCCTTCTGAATTGGCTTCAAGATGGCAAGCAAGTGCCCAATGCCCTGCTAAAATCGTGTAGTTTAACTAAGCTCTTTGGGTAGTTTTGCTAAGCTTCCTGGAGCCTCTGGGAACACTGAGGCAGCTTGTATACACCTGATTTCTTCATTCCTGTCGCTTCTCTGCTCTCCGTGTATGAGGCGTTGAGAACCTAATGGAGAACAAGACAGACAATCCCTGTCCTCCCAGAGATTATAACCCAATGGTGAGAACAGATAGAACAGCAACAACAACCATAACAACAACAAAACCCCAGGAGGGGACAGGTCTTGAGAGTGTTTATAAAGGTCATAGTGGGAAAGACAGGGGGTGTGCTCCAGCCAGCATGAGGGATGCTCAGAAGTTCAAAGGCAACAGAGATATTGACAAAAGGAACAGAGAGATAATGGTTGCAACAGTCTGAATGAAAATGTCCCCCAGAGGCTCATGTACTTGAACACGTGGTTCTTGGTGCTGTTTGGAGAGGTGTAGGAGGTGAGGCCCTGTTGGGTAAAATATGTCACTAGTGGCAGGCTTTGAGAGTTTACAGTCTGGCAACATTTCCAGTTTTCTCTTCCTGCTTCATGCTTGCAGTTGAGGATGAAGCTCTCAGGTTCCTGTTCTGGTTGTCATGCCTGCTGCCAGCTGCCAGGCTGTTCCTGTCATTATGGACTCTAACCCACTGGAACCATAAGTCAAAATAAGGCCTTTCTTCTATAAGCTGCTTTGGTCATATATTTTTTTTTTTTAAATCTCAGCAACAGAAAAGTAAGCAATACAACCATGGACTCAGAAAGGGACGCCACACGGGGAAAGGTTCACAGTGACTATACCTTTGCCTTGGTCATTTGACCCTGACAGGTGTTTGCTGTGGCTTGGTCAGCTGTCAGA